GAGATCGAGCCAGCCATTCACTGAAGTCTCCTCCTGGTTTCACCAAGAACAACAGAGTAGGATGGATTTGTTCCCAGAGGAGGAGGCCTGGGAACAATTTGCTCCTAGATGGTGAACTCCTGGTTCCTAGGGTGTAGCACAGGGCTGGGCACACAGAAGGGATTCTGGTAGTGTAGCAGGAGGCCAGAGATAGACAGGCCCTTAGAGACCACACCCAGACCCTTTGAACTCAAGAGGAAAGAGACTTGCTAAAGGTTTTACAAGGTGCTCACTCCAGCCCTGGAATCGAGTCTGAGGTCTCCTTCCTGAGTCTAGCACTCTCTTTGCTAGGAAAACCATGTGCCTGGGAGGCTGATGGGCATGAATCTTGAACCTTATCACACACCTAGGGAAGAGGTGACTAGAGCTCCACTCACTGGCTATTTTTAAGCTCACCAGTCTAATGGAGGACAGATTGAATGGGGCCAGTATTTCTGCAGCTATTCAAATCCCTTACTTCTCCCCTCACTTTGGGGCCCCTTTCTCAGTGCCACTTACATTTAGAAGTGAGAAGATGGGCTGAGGGGTTGGTTTTGGTCACACTGTAGGTGGAAAATGGCAGCCCTTGGTGTAGCTCACCACCTTCTGCATAGCTGTGCTTCTGAAAGTCACTATATTTCTCAGACTTTTTTCCCTTTATCCATAAAGAAGGACAATGACAATAATACCTCTTCCCCTAACTACAGAGTGGGTGTGAAGCCCAGAAGTGATAACTGGGCATGGCAACTCATCATAATCTTAGAGAGTGAGTCATTTATTAACATTAAATGGCTGAACATAGAAGATAGGCAAAGAACACAGTGCTCCCTGCCTTCTCCAGTGGAATATTTCATGCCCTTAGCACCCCCATTTTGCTTAGGGGCTGCCTTATGAACGGATCAGGTGACTGCTCAGAATTGGGCAAATCTTTGCCACTTGCAGTGAGGTGCAGACTGAGACAGAGAGACATGTGGCATGCACACTGAATCCCAACTCCATAGAGGTTCCCCAGCACTCGCATTTCGGAGTGCTAATGCTTTTGAGATTCTCCCACTAGCAATCAATTGACCTACTGATCTGGGGGAAGAGTCGAGATCTTAACTTTAAAGGGAAGGACCCAATGTTCTGCTTCCTATTAAAATTCCATACACTATCTGCTGAGACGGGATACTTCATTAACCTTGAATAGATGCCCAAACATTCAAAAGATAAAACTCCTCTTTTCCCCAGATCACAAGAGTAGCTAAGCAATCATGCTACTGAATGCATGAACAAATGCTGAAAAGGTACTTGGATCACTTAGATTTCTTATGAAGACTATTCCTTCATTACATGTGTTCAGAATTTTGTGGTTTTCAATGTGCTTTAGATTGAAGAGGCAGCAAAGTATGGTGCAGATGACACTGATTTCTTAGATCTGCCACTTCTGTGACTTTCATCAAGTTGCTTAACCTCTCTGAGCCTCAGTTTCCTAGAGGAAATATCAACCTCTTCTTCTCAGGGTTATCATGAGGGTTGCAGGAGATAATGTCCCCCAAATGCTTAGCAACATGCCTAATATCCAGTCTATGCTCAATTAAAAGTAGTTATTCTTAACTCTTGGACCATTTGAACTTTGTTCTCAGGGAGGGCAAAAGATGTATAAAACTCATGGCTAGATAGCAGTAGATGCAGGACTAGAACCCAGATGTCCCTGAGCCTTTCTTAGTCTGACTCTAAGAACAACAGCAGACCAGATGCACGTTTTCCTGCAAGGGAAATTATTTACATGTAAATTTAAGGGCCATTTAAAAAGAACTCTCCTTTTGGATTGATATATTTCAAGAGCAATTTTAGATATATTTTTTCTTTGTTAGCATGTTTTTCAGTAAAGGACAGGGGAACCCGTTAACATGAATGCTTTAAAGTAGCCCTCTTGTTAGGAATGCTTTCAAGATGAGGGAGAGTAGAAAATACTGCTTCTCGTTGAGCCCATTTTCCTGGGACTAGGGATCAGGGTGTCATCACAGGATGTTAAGGAGTGTCAGAGGGAGAGCAAACAATGAAAACGTCCAAGATTCAGCAAAGGCCACACCCTGGAAATGTAAGCCTAGCAAAGGACCCCCTTCCATCACTCACCTTCTAGGCCAGGTCCTGCAATAACTTGTTTGCTTCTTTCCACACCCACATCAGCATCTAAAGCTTTGGGACTTTGTGATATGAACACTTTTACACTGCTGGTGGGATTGCAAACTAATACATCCTCTATGGAAAAAAGTATGAAGAATCCTCAAAGAGCTAAAAAACCTTCCATTTGATCCTGAAATCCCAATGCTAGGTAACTACCCAGAAGAAAAAAAGTCATTTAACCAATAAAGACCTTTGCACTTGAATATTTATCACAGCTCAATTTACAATCACCAAGATGTGGAAACACCCAAGTGCCCATCAACCTAAGAATGGATTAATAAACAGTGGATATGTGCACCATGGAGTACTCTCAGCCATCAAAAAGATGGAGACTTTGTATCTTTTATATTTACCTCCATGGAGCCAAAGAATATCTTCCTTAGGAAAGTATCTCAGGAATGGAAAAGCAAGCAACCTAGGTACACAGAACTAATTTGAAACTAGCAGGTGAACAGCTATAGGCTCGCATGAGGGAAAAACACAGTTAAATTCAAGAAGCGGGGAGAAGGGAAGGGAAGAAGGGTGTTCCGTAAACTCCCACCTATTTGGTACAATGTAGGGGTACAAGACACCTCCTGGGTGAAGGACTGAACTATAACTTGGACTTTACAAATGCAAACAATGTAGCCTAATTATATTCACTCTAATATTAATCCAAAATAAATTAAAAAATAACTTGTTTGGACAGCAGGTTTCTTGGTAGATTCCCAGGCTATTCTGCTTTCAGACTGTCAGTCTCTGTCCCTTCTCTCAGTTCACAAGCACCCAAATGCTGAGATCCTCAGTGTGTGCAGCAGAGTTCAATGTTAGCACTAGGCACCTTCTGGAAGCTACAGGGATTGCCCAGCCATGAAAATCTAGCTGTTCTCAGGCCAAGAGCTGCCTTGGCTGCCTGTTGATGGCAGCAGCAGCATTCGTCAGGCACAGGCAAAGGAGTGGGATCTCAAAGTGCTGTCCCCTTCAAAGGCCATATGTGTTTTCTAAGAACATAACTGTGGTTTCAACTGTGAAGAAGATTCATATGAGGGAGTTGCTTTCCAAGCCCAAAGCATAGTTTTTTTATCCCTTCAACTGGGGAAAATCCTTGGACTTCAAGGACATCTTGGAGTTCTGGAAATAAGGCCAGTCAGAGCCAAAGGCAGAGAACAAGGTGTGCCACAGAGGAGTCAGAAAGGCATATTTTGATTTCGTTCAAGGTGTGACTCTAAAGCAATAAATGTGAATTTTTGGCATGGCTTACAAAGGTCTCTAAATCCACCTGCAAAGTGAAGTCAAGTCCGGGATACTGTAATCAATGACAACTTCTCCAGAGTAAGGGCATGGATGGCTACTCCAAGGTCCTAGTCAAAGGACAATCCTACCCACAAAACTGTATTGAGCTCTGCAGTAATCAGAACCAAAGCACTTACTTACTAGTCCCCACTTTTTAAGAGAGTGTAGGTGGAGTGGTTGAGAAGTGGAAGAGGACCACTGCAACTACAACCCACCCATAATTTTCTCCTAGGATTTGGCCAAGTAAATGGAAACAAGTGGGAAACACAGGAGAAATGGTGACACTGATCATGAAGTATGGGTGCATTACCAGGAAGTTTTCCATTCCTGACTCAGTTGTTGACCACAAAAAAGAAGCAAGAAATATAAAGGGTAATTAAGATGGAGGTTAGGGATGTCCATCTAGAAAATGCCTAGGAGCTAGCAATTTTGAGGACAGGCTGTTGGCCAAGTAACAGCTCCATCTCTGCCATCCCACCTAACTGCCATCTCTTTGAGAGCTGGGATGTCAGTAAATCGAGTTTTGTAAACATCCATGCAATCAACTCAATATCACATTCTCAATACATTGTTTGTGGTTGATAATAAGGAAAAAAAGAAGCAAGATTTCAATCACCTTCTTCCACACCTTCCACACCTGATATGTGCACATATCAGAATCTTAAAATAAATAGAAAGCTAACTTGCTGAAAGTGTATTGCCCTGAGAATTGAAGAAGACAGTTATGTGAAATGGCATTACCTCAGAGCCTAGGGATCCCAGTTCTGTGAAGAGGAAGGAAGTAGACCCATGGCTCTATAAGAACCATTTCCTCTCTGCTCTATTAATTTCTGAGATTAAGCAAGCCACTCCTCTGTAAGCCTAATGCCCTGAGATAACAGCCATTGTGTTTGCTGCAACTCCTGCTAACTGAGCTAATCTTGGTAGACTGGCAGTGTCTCAGGATTTTATTGTCAAATTCAACCAGCCAGTGGCTCTCATGGCCCCTTCAATCATCATCCTGGCCCCCAGAACTATGAACACAACGCTGAGTTCTAGACACTTGGATAATGTCTGGGTTCCCAGGGAATAGAAGCAGAAGGGTGTCAAATGAGTTTTTAAAAGGACACCAGGGCCAGATGGTTGAATGGGGATCCTTTTCTACGTTCTACTCACTGGCTTCTTGTTCTCAGTCATACTGAGCAAGTCCATGCACTATATCTAGTGCTCGCCATTCTGACTGGTTTTGATTTAGAAAAAAAGCAGAATCTTCTTCCCTGTCATCCTTCCTCTTTTTTCTTGCAAGGGGGACAGTGCAGAGATCACTTGACTAGGAATCCAGGTGGAGCTTTGGACTGTATTTCCAACACTTTCAGAAACCTACAAGGGGCAGTGGCAGCTCATCTCCTAGATCTTTTCCAGATCACATTTGAGTTCCTTATATATTGGGTTGGTTCCTTGTCATCAAATTTACACACAGAATTTCAATAACACATCTTATATTTATGTTTAAGATTAGAAGCATTTAACACCCCCCTCCCCCCCATAGCCCATTGTCTGACCGATTCCTGGAGCTTTCTGGGCTCCTGACGATTTCCCACCATGGTGAAATGGGGAAGCATGCTCTTGATTACAAGCCGACTTTTCCAGTCATCCATTGTTTGACCTGCAATTTTATTCTTGACTCTCCAAGGCGTCTCCCAAACGACCTAGACACAGGGCTTAGGGAGACAAAAAGTACACTGTCTTTCAGATGTGAAGATGAGACCAATGACCCCATGAATCACAGACTTTCACTTTGAGGACAGGTTTGTGTGGAATCAGCCACGTTCCCTTTCATGTCTCTCTCCCCACCCCATCTCCCTCATTGGACACCCCCACCCCCAAGGATGAGGGCCACTTCTGTGATGTAGTTGGCTGAGATGAAATGACAGTCCTTGACCAGGGGCACAACAAAGTTCAGTGGACGACAGAGGAGTGGGTGGAGGAACACAGCCTGATATAAGTAAAATACCATTGGGCTTACAGGCAGGGAATGTGGGTCCCAGGTCTGGCTTTGCTTTTGTTTGATATATAGTGGTACCCGGGGAAAGGCACATTTGATTTCTGAGATGTAGTTTCCTTATAAGAAAAACATGGTAGTTGAATCAGGTGGTGACTTAGGGACACTTCAGCTCCACTAGAGTAAGCCTTATGGTCCATAGAAGGAGCAACCACCGATCCTGGTCCTATTAAGATCCAGCCAAGTCAGCTGATCAACAGTATAAAGCCTGATAGACACCAGAATGAAGCAGTGAATGTTAGAACAGGCTTATAAAAGCCTGGTACACTGGTTTAAAAATAAATGACTGAGCAGGCCATGACCAAGTCTACTCCAATCTATGCTTCCATGATGGATAAGCAGACATATGCAAACCCAGATAAAGCTGTCATTTCCTTTTGTTTCATGAGTAGATGTAAAATAAGAGCTCTATTAAGGCATTCATATATAAAGACAGCTATACTTCCCATAAATCTCCTTGGCAGCACAGCATCAGGCTCTAAAATTTCAATGTTCAAACTTCTACCTCTGGAAAGATTGAGAAGTACTTTTGCTCATTCTCCCACTGAATACAACTAAAATCTCTGGGCTATTTACAAAATAAACATAGGAAGATACCAAAAGGTGGAAATGAAAAGGTAGATTGGCTAGAGACCTTGGGACCTGAGGAAGGATGTAGTGTTGAGTTCCCTAGATTTTCTTTTTGCCTTATGTATGCCAGACTTGAAGCTGAAGAAGCCGGTAAGCCAGAATACCAGTGGACACTGATGAAAAAGTCCCAACAAAATTCTGCTCTTTCTATCCAAAGGACCAGGAAAGTGTAGTCTGTCAAGATAGAAAACCTTTAGAGAGCAACTGTGTTCTAATCCAGCTTAATAATTCTATAACATCAACAAAAGCCAAGTGGGAAGTCTCGGCTTCACCTTTCCCTGGCACTAATGAAGCGTTCTTTCCCATCTCTGCTAGGATGGTATCAGTAGATGCCAAGTGGGGAGCTGGAACTCTCATCCCTTTCCAGCAGTAATGAGGCTAATCTCCCTATTGTCAATGAAGGCTAAATAAGTAACCTAGACTTTTATTCTCACCTGGCAGAAATAGGATGGTGCCCTCTTCCTTGTCAGAGCAGCATCAGAAGTCAGTTAAAACAGAAGACTTAAATAAAATCCATTCTTTTAATATAATACCCCAAACATCCAAAATTTAATAGAAAAACACTTGCCATACCATGAACCAAGATGATCTTAAACCGATTAAAAAATATTATCAACGGATGTCAATAGCAAGATGACACAGATGTTAGAATTATCTGACAAAAATTTTAAAATAGTTCAACCAACACTTGCAGCTGTACTTGAAACAAGTAAAAAAAAAAATACTGAAAGTTTCAACAAAGAAATAGGAATTCTCAACAAAGAAACAGAAAATATGAAGAAGAACCCAAGAGAAATTTAGAACTAAAAAATACAATAACGGATATAAAATCAATGGATGGAATCAAGAGAAGAATAGGAGGGACAGAGGAAAGATTTAAGACAGAACAAAAGAAATTACCCAATGTGAACAGAAAGAAAATAGACTGGAGAAAAATGAACAGAGAATCAGGGACATATGAGATTAGTAAATAAAAGGTGTAACTTTTATGTCATTGGAATTCCAAAAGAAGAGGAGATGATGGGACTAAAAAACATATTCAAAGAAACAATGGCTAAAACTCCCCAAATTTGGTAAAAGACATAAACCAGAAAGTTCAAAGAGCTGAGTGAACCCCAAACAGTATAAATTCAAAGAAATCCACTTCAAGATCCATCATAACAAAACTTTAGAAATGTGAAGACAAAGTCATGAATACAGTGAGAAGGAAATGACACATTATTTGTAGAGGAAAAACAATTGGAATGCCAGTGGACTTTTGATCAGAAACCATGGAAGGCAGAAGGAAGGGGCACAGTATTTTTCGAGTGCTATAAAAAAATATCTGTCAACTTAGAATTCTATACTCAGTGAAAATATATTATAGATGTGGAAGTGGAATCAAGACATTCTCAGAGGAAGGAAAGTAAAAGAATTTGTCAACAACAGACCTCTACCAACAGAATGTCTAAAATAAATTCTCTAGGGAGATAGGAAATGATAAAAGAAAAAATCTTGGCCAGAAAGGAAGAACAATGGAGAGAGAGAAAATATCAATAATGTAATAGACTTTCTTTTTTCTCTTAAATTTCCTAAATTATGTTTGATGGCTTAAGCACCAGGTATAACATTACCTGATGTGGTTCTAAATGTATGTAGGAAAAATACTTGACATCATTACATTATAAATGAAGGGAGAGATAAAGGGATGAAAATAGTAGGTAAGATTTTATACTTCACTGGGACTAGCAAAATGCCAACAGCAGTAGACCATTATAAGTTATATGTGCATATATACACATGTAATAATGTATTACCCAGAACAACCACTACAAATGCTTTACAAAAATATAAACTCAAAAACTCTATACACAAATAATATGAAATTCTAATAATTGTTCAAGTAACCCATAGAAAAATAGAAAAAAGAAAATCAAAAAACAAAAGCCAGAGAATAAACAGAAAACAAAAATAAATAGGCAGAATTAAGCACTAACTTATCAATAAGTACATTAAAAGAAAATCATTTAATATACAAAATATTACTAAAAGATAGAGAGTAGCAAAGAAGATAGAAAACATGACCCAGTGACATGCTGTTAGCATAATATTCATCTCTAATAGAATGATTTAGGAAGGTTGAAAGTAAAATGATGGGAAAAGATTTATCATGGAAATGTTAATTTAAAAAGTAGCAGAAGTGGCTCTAGTAATAAAGTAGACTTCAGAGCAAAGAAATTTACCAGGATGGATAGAGACATTACATAATGATAAAAGGGTCACTCAACCAAGAAGACACAGAAATCCTAAATATGTATGTTCTAGACAACAGAGATTTATAGTATAGGAAGCATATGTTAGTAGGAGAAATAACCCCCATACACATTTACAGTTGAAGATTTCAACACCCTTTTCAACAATTGTTTGAACTAGACAGAAAATTAGCAAGCTATGAACCCAACAAAAAGTTTCAATCTAATTGACATTATAGAATGCTCCACTGAAAAACAATAAAATTTATTTATTTTTCAAGAACCCCAAAAATATATATGCCAAAACAGATATATTCTGAACCATAAAAATGCCATAAAAATTTAAAAGAATTAAAATAATATATGATACATTCTTTGACTATAATGGAATCAAATTAGTGATACAATAACAGACAGACAACATTAAAATCTCCAAAAATTTAGAAGTTAAACACCACACTTTAAAGAAGTTTGTGGGTCAAAGAGGGGGTCTTTAGAGAAATAAAAAATATATTGTCCTGAATGAAAATGAAAATATAGTATGTTGAACTTTGTGGAACATTGGTAAAGCTGTGCTGAGAGGCAAATATATAGAAATAAATGCTTATATTAGAAATGAGGGAAAGTCTAAAATCAATAATCTAAGTTCTCACTTAGAGAACCTAGAAAAAAGAAGAGTAAAATAAACCCAATGCAAGCATAAGGAGGAAAATAATAAAGAATCAAAATCAAAAAGTCAATAACATTGAAAAGAAAAACAAAGAAACACAATTTTTCCTTGATAAAATTAATGAAATTAATAAGTCTCCAATAAGACTGACAGAGAAAAATAGAAGATACAAATTACTAATATCCTGATTGAAGAAGAGGATATTACTACAGACTTTGCAGACATGAAAAGGCTAAGGGAGTACTACGAACAGCTTTACATATATAAATTTGGAAACTTAGATGAAATGGACCAATCATCCTAAAAGTATGAACTACCAAAATTTATCCAGCATGAAATAATCTGAGGCACCTTATAATTATTAAAGAAATCAAATTCATAATTTAAAAAATCTCCCAAAATAAAAACTGCAGGCATAGATGGTCTCATTAGAGAATTATGCTGATCATTTAAAGAATTAGCACCAATTCTACATAAATTCTTCCAGAAAGGAAATGAGGAGGGAACACTTCTCAACTCATTGTATTACCATGACAGCAAAGACAAACACTGTACAAAAATAGAAAACAATAGACCAATATTTCTTATGAATATGGACACAAAAATCCTTAAGAAAATTTTAGCAATTTATGAAAAGAATTATACACCATGATCAAGGTAGGTATATCTTAGGAATGTAAGGCTTGTTCAATATTAAAAAATCAATTCATGTTATCCACCATATTAATAGGCAAAGAATAAAAATCATATGATCATCTCAAAACAATACTGAAAAGAGAAAAAAATAAGTTGGAGGACTTCCTTCCTAATTTCAAAATTCACTACAAAGCAAAACTAATCAAAACAATGTAGTACACATATATCAAAGAAATAGACTTGAGAAATCAGAAATAAACCCATAAATCTATTTTCAACAAGGGTGCCAAGATCACTCAGGGAAAGATTAGTCTGTTCAAAAAATAATCTCAAAATAACTGGATATACACAGGCAGGAAAATGAAATTGGCTCCCTACCACACATCATATACAAAACTCAGCTCAAAATCATTAATCAACCTAAATATACGTATTAATACTATAAAACTCTCAGAAGAAAACCTAAGTTAAATTTTTAAGCCTTGGATTTGG